TCGCTCAATTAGATTCATGTAACAAGTCCTTAAAGTTTTTAACAACTCTCTCAACAACAAAAGAAAATAAAAAATAAAAATTATGTAGGGAAAAAATTTAAGTGATACAAGTTCTCTGGATACTAAAACAAATCAAGTTTTGAGCTAAGCAGCTCAGTAATGGAACAGGTATTTAGCATGCAGGAAGTCCTGTTGACTCCTACTACTACCAAAAATAAAATCACATTTTGGAAGAATATAACACATGAAAATCTGCAAAATACTGTCTTAAAGAACGTTTATTCATAAGCATAATATTAAATTTTAATATGCACCAGGAAGTCTGATAAACAGATTGAATTTGAAGCTTTGACTTCATTTTCTTTGTAATTTTCCAAAGTCAAAAAGAGGGGCTGGAGAGAGATGATTCACAGGTTAAGAACACTAGTTGCTCTTGCAGAGAATGTGGGTTTAGCTCCCATACAGTGGCTCACAATCATCTGTAACCCTAGTTCCATGGGATCCAGTGACCTCACCTGGCCTCCATGGGTACTGCAGGCAAATGGTGCACAAACATAGGCAAAACACCCACTCACAAATATAACTATATATACATTCATCTTTTTAAAAAAATAAATCCGCCGGGCAGTGGTAACTCAGGCCTTTAATCCCAGCACTTGGGAGACAGAAGCAAGCGGATCTCTTTGAGTTCAATGCCAGCCTGGTCTACAGAGTTAGACTAAGGACAGCCAGGACTGTTACACAAAGAAAACCTGTCTCGAAAAAAAACAAAAACAAGCCGGGCAGTTGTGGCGCACGCCTTTAATCCCAGCACTTGGGAGGTAGAGGCAGGCGGATTTCTGAGTTCCAGGCCAGTCTGGTCTACAGAGTGAGTTCCAGGACAGCCAGGGCTACACAGAGAAACCCTGTCTCAAAAAACCAAAAAAAAAAGAAAAAAAAAGGAGGAGGAAAATGAATAGGAAGAGGAGGAGGAGGACAGGAGGAGAAAGAGAGGAGGAGGAGAAAGAAAAAGAAGAAATCAAAAAAAGTAAATACTGTTACTACCCTTTTTGGGACTCGTTACCTAGAAGATAGTAAGATGATGAATAAGTGAAAGAATGAATGAATGAGAACTAGATACATTAGAGAGGCATTTGTTCCCAGACGAAATTACAGGGCTATTTCCACTTAATTTTTGCTAGCACTAATATTATTAACAGTTGATTATGTCTTTTGATACTGTTTTTTTTTTCCAATCACCTAGTAGCGTGCCATGACCAGGGCATACATTAAGATTGAAGTGAGGAAGAAACTCAAAAACCACCATACTATTTAACGGCCACCAATAAATGTCTTTCTCAGACTGGGTCACGATAGTAATCCCTTTCAGTCAAAGTTTCCAACTGTCATCTGAACTGGTCTCAACAATTTAAATGGGACCGAAACAATCCGGATTTGGCACGGCAGAAGGCGCCGGTCAAAAAGCAGCAGCTCTCCTAACCTTCACTCGTAAGCCCTCTGCAAAGTCAGGCTGGGCTCTGTCCAGGGCAGTCACTTACCGAATCCTGTGAACCCCATGGTGACCGCCAGCTGAGGGTCGGGTCCCGCCGTGTCTGCGCCTGTCACTATAGCAAGAAAGAAAAGACAGACGGCCCGTCAGCGCGGCGTTCCGACTCCGCAGCACAGCCCTCCACCCCGGCTGGACCCCGCCGCGCCGAACCCACCTTCGCTGGACCCCGAGGGCTCCATTACTCCCCGAGCCCAAAGCCTCCGGAGAGGCAGCAGCGCCCGACTCCCGGCAAGCCTAACAGGATATGTCGTCACCGAGACCGCGTCGCCAAGAGCGGCCGGGTTGCGTGGGAAGACAGACTTTCCGACTCTCGCCCCCTAGCGGTGCGGAGGGAACGCACTGATCAGACCGCTTCCCAAATCAAGCCATGAAGAAGTATTATTTGGGGAGTTCCCTAAAACCTTTTGGTTGTTTCAGATGCATCTCAAGCAAACTGACAGTCCTCGCATATTTCTAAGAAGAAGTCAACAGTATCTTGTTATTTGCCTGCTACTTTTATCTATATTTATAATGTACTTGGCGTACGTGATGAAACTTCCACAGTTGCCCATCTTCTCTGTATACTTGAAGAAAGTGGTATCTAGTTATGACTAAAGCACCGAGAAAGATGCCAGAAAACCGAAGTGTTAGGAGGAATGTTTTAAGCGCTTGCTCTCAGTCACAGACTAAGCTAGCCTTGTTTACTAAGTAAGCGTTTCAAATGTTACATAACTACTGTGTTTCCAATTTATTTTGGTTTGCTTACAACTGGGTTCCTAACCTATACTATGAAGTAATGGCACGTCATTTATTATATAGATATATATTTTGGTTTTTCGAGACAGCCTTTCTCTGTATAACCCTGGCTGTCCTGGAACTCACTCTGTAGACCAGGCTAGCCTTGAACTCAAAAATCTACCTGCCTCTGCCTCCCAAGTGCTGGGATTAAAGGCGTGCGCCACCACTCCCCGGCTATTATATTTTTAAAGTCTAAAGTAAATACTTGATTAAATGATTTTTTTTGTTGGAGTCTCTTACTATGTCTCTAACCTATGGCTGGCCTGGAACTCAGAGACCCCCATCTGCCTCTGCCTCCCAAGTGCTGCTTTTAAAGATATATGCTACCAAGCCAAGTGAAAACATTTCATTTTCACATGTACTTATTTATTGTGGAAGTGGTATAAGCGTGCCATAGTGTGCACATGGAGATCAGAGAACAACCTGTAGATCTCTTCTTCCACTATGTGGTTCTGGGGGTGGACCTCAGGTCACAGGCTCAGTAGAAAACATCTTTTCCTTCTGAGCCTTCTTGTCCACTCAAGAATGAAAATTCTTTGATAAACTTACTCAGGACCCCCAATATTAGACTGTTCTGTCGATAATCCATTTATATGTATATCTTAAATGATAATGATTGTTTAATGCTTCCACTGATTGTCCTTAGAATAAAAGACAAATTTATTAATAAAATGAAGCTGTAAGACTATGGTTGCTTAGCATAGACAAGGTTAAGTGTCTGGATTGGATCTCCAGCACAAAAAATACAAATTTAATAAAATGGTAGCCTGACTCCCAAAACCTTTCTATTCCAATCTTGTCATTTTCAACATCACCAGCCATACAGTGCAGCGAGTGACCTCAGAACTCCTCAGATCAGAACTCATGATGAGTCCTGAAATCACTAACTCTTCACCAAGTCCTTGATCCTCCCAGCCTGCCTCCAACTATCAAATTAAATCTCCCTTGGTTTTGTAAGCATCTGTAGAGCTTTGCAGGCCTCCAAGTAAATAAGGCCCACCACCATGTGATACCCTAGTCTTTCTTCATAATACAATGAAAGACAGGCACCCTGAGTGTTTATTAAATGAATTGATAAAAAGAAATAGTTGTGAAGACAAAAGTTACTTTTCATGTGCAAGATGTATATAATTTGTAGCAATGACGTTTTGAGTTTACCTCAAGAGATTTCTAGCGACAAATTACCCTGAAGGCTAATTTATTTTGCCTACACTCAAATACATTACTATTAGTGCTAACATTTCTTTTCTGAGCACAGGTAAGCAGCCATTAGACACTGGAGTAGAACTTTATGAATGAGATATATTACGTATCCATAACCTTTAAGCTCATAAGGAATGATTTCAGTTCCTCGATTGTCAAGGAGATGAAATTTTGAGATACATGATATGTTAAACTTTAAACTGCAAAGCACTAGAGGGAAATGAAAAATAAAGAATAGCTATTCCATCACCCCATTAGAGTTTATATTCATCACCATAAACATCATTTTAAAAGATGCTCTGCTATCAATAAATAAATAATGATGTAGCTTCCTCTCTAAACTATTCCTGTTGTGTTTGTGTGAAACAACTTCATAAACCTAACTGTAAAGCGTTAGGGGAGGTTTTTTGAATAAAATGAATTTATTCATTAATCAAAACAGGAAGCCCCTCAATCGATGATTCTCAGTGCAATCTGCAGACTGCTTAAGAGTACTCATAAAATCGAAACTCTTCTGTAAATAATCTAAGATACCAGTTGGGGGTTTCTTCACTATATTGATTAATTGGACTGTTAGCAAAAGCAATGGTGTACTAAAATAGGGCATATTAGAATATCAGTTTTTCTGAACAATGATTCATTAATTGGGCAGGGCCAGACAGTAAGCCATTTAAGTCTCTGCCCTGCTGGGCAAGAAGGAGCAAGGAACCATAACAAAGAAAATGATTGATTGTTGTAGTGGCGCAGAAACTTTGGGTCATTCTGGAGGAAAGTCCTTAGAGGCTAGATAGTGTATTAGTCAGGGTTCTCTAGAATCACAGAACTTATGGAATGTCTCTCTATATTAAGGGAGTTTATTGTAATGACTGACAGTCTGTAGTCTAACGCAGCAATAGGCAGCTATTACTGGAACGTCCAAGAATCTAGTAGCTGCTCAGTCCCATGGGGCTAGTTGTTTCAGCTGTTCTGTACAAGCTGGAATCATGAAAAAGTAGGTTCCAACAGAGGGGCTGGCAAGTAAGTGCAAGCAGGCAAAGAAGACTGAGTCTTCCTTCTTCCAATGTCCTTATGTAGGTCTCTAGCAGAAAGTGTGGCCCAGATTAAAGGTGTGTGCCACCACGCCTACATTTGGAACTTGCTTTGTCCCAGGCAGGCTGAGATCTGCTTGCCTCAGCTTTTCATGGCCACTATGCCTCAAGATCTCCACATCGAGATCTGAGTCAGAGTCTGTGTCTTCCATCCTCAAGATCTGGATCACAGGTGTGCCCTCCATTTCTGGATTGTAGTTCATTCCAGATCCAGTCAAGTTGGCAAGCAGGAATAGCCATCACAGATAGTAATCCCTGATTGGTTAAGATAAAATATTCCTTGGGCTTACAGGATGGCTCAGTGGATAAATGTATTTGTCACTAAAGTTAACTACTTGAGTGCAATCCCCTGGCCCATGTGGTAGAAGGGAAGAACCAACTCCCACCTCTGACCACGACATGCATTATGCCTGGGCATATACACAAACACACATAAACACAGTAGTGTATTTTTTTTTCCACTTTAAGGCCAGAAGATGCTCTCATTGCTCCCTGGGACTGGAGTTACCAATAGCTGTGAGCATCTTTGTTGATACTGGAAATGAAGCCTAGGTCCCAGCTAGTGGTCTTAATCACTGAGCCACTCAACCCCAGATTTTTCTCAAAAGGGTAAGTAGTCTTTGAGGTTAGTTCTCTGTGGTGGTTTGAATATGCTTGGCCCAAGGAGTGGCACTATTAGGAGGTATGGCATTGTTGAAGTAGGGTGTGTCCTTGTGAGAGGATGTTGTCACTGTGGGAGTGGGCAATGAGACCCTCCTCCTAACCACGTGGGAACCAGTCTTGTCCTGTTTGCCTTCTGAACAAGATGTACAATTCTTAGTTCCTCCAGCACCATGCCTGCCTGGATGTTGCCATGCTCCCAACTTGATGATAATGAACTGAACCTCTCAACCTGTAAGCCAGCCCCAATTAAGTGTTGTCCTTTATAAGAGTTGCCTTGATCATGGTGACTGCTCACAGCAGTAAAACCCTAAGACATTCTCAATTTTTATATTGGAAACAGGGTCTCATGTAACCTAGACACTTCAAACTCTCTCTGAAACTGGCCTTAAAATCCTGACTTTCCTGTCTCTGACTCCCGAATGTTGGGAATACAGGCCACAAAGCTAGGTTCAGTTCTCTGTTATTTTATGTATATGAGTCTGTTGCCTGCGTGTATGCATGGGCACCACATGTATGCTTGAGAACCTCAAAAGTCTAGAAGATTGAACTAGGTCTCCTGAGACTAGAGTCACAGGTGCTTGGGAGTCTCCATGGGAGTGCTGGGAAGCAAACCAAGATCCTCTGGAAGAACAACAAGTGTTCTTTTAAAAAATGTATATGGGTGTTTTGTTTGCTTCTGTCTGTACACCATGGCCATGCCAGGTGTTGTAGAAACAGAAGGCATTAGATCCCCTGAAAATGGAGTTATAGGTCACTATGTGGGTGCTGGGAATCAAATTCAGGTCCTCTGGAAGAGCCTTAAGTACTCTTAACCATCTCTGTATCTGGGTCATTTGTTTCTGATGGGCAGAAAATATGACCATGTATAGCAAATCGGAATTTTGTGAAGTGTATAGTGTGTGTGCAAATGTGTGTACCTGTTCTCATGTGGAGGTCAGAAGTCAATGACAGGTGCCATCTATTCCTCCACCTAGTTTCTTGATACAAGGTCTCTTACAGAACCTGGGGCTCAAGACTAGCTGGCCAGCAAGCCCCAGCACGCCCCAGGATGCATCTGTCTAGTCGCCACTTTGCCAGCATGGGATTGTCCAGCTTCTTACACGGTAATAGGAGAGCTCAACTCAAGTCCTTGCACTGGATGGCAAGCACTTTATCAACTGAGCCATCTGCCCAGACCCTGGAATGGGTTTTGGTCTTCTCATGTAAGAACACAGGGTTCCAGAGCTACTGTGGTCTGTAGCCTTCCAATCAGTTCACTTCGCCAGTAGGTGAAGCTGAACTAGAGGAAAAACCAAGGCAATGGCAAGCAAACTGTTGTTGGAGTCACTCTGTTTACTTCTGGCACAAATCTGCTACAAAGGAATCACTTTCCATTAGAAATGATTTTAATGGAGTAGTATTCTTTAGGTTGCGAACCCTGAGTGAGTCTTTTTAGTACTTAGTTAGCAAAATGAAAATTATACATAATGTGCTTCTGATAAGAATAAAAAAGAGTGACTGCTATCTAAAAAGAAAACAACCAGTAATTGGGTTGTTATGTGTCTCTTGAACTAACACTTTTATCTGATAAACACTGTAATCACATACATACACAGAATTTTTAAAACAGAACTGGCTGAGTTTGACCACTGAGAACATCATTACTATGTAGAACTATTAGACCAAAAATATTAAATCATTCAGTTTGTGTGGGAGAAATCACTCAAGCATCTATTTTATGTTGACTTAAAAACAACCACCAGGGGTCTGAAGAGATAGCTCAGCTAATAAGAGCGTTTGCTGTTCTTGAAAAAGATCTGAGTTAGGTTCCTAGCATCCACATAGTGGCCTCAAAACATCTGTAACTCACTTCCAATGTAGTTGATGCCTTCTTTTGACTTCTGAGGGCACTAGGTACATGTATTGTGATGTATAAACATCTATGCAGGCAAAACACCCATACCCACAAAGTAAATAAACCTAAAAATAAGTAAAAGTAACTACCAGGCTAGAGCTGTGCTCTACAAAATAAATTACCATGGGAGAACATAACTGCTTGTTTTCAAATCAATCATAAAAGTGTTATTTTTTCTTAATATATTAGATCCTTTATTTTGTTTCCTCTTTCTCTAATACCACATTTCCGAAAGGATGTATAGTACCTTGAAGTATGCATTCAGCAATATATAGTCACGTTATCATAGAATTTGTATCCTATATAAATATAGGTAATATAAATATTTGTCTTAAAATTGGACATATTATATTAAATGTTACATTAGTTATTCAGATTTAGAAACTGGAGAGATTGCTCCATAGCTAAAACACTCCCTGCTCTTTCAGAAGACCTGTCTGGTTTCCAAGCACCTACACTGGGCAGCCTACATCTCCTGTAGCTCCAGGTCCAGATGCCCTGTTCTTGTCTCCATGGGTATACACTCATGCACACATGCACGCACACACATGGCATACATTCACACAGACACACAGACACAAAAATAAAAAGAAATTGTTGTTTTCAGATTAAACATAGGATCCAAAGTATCTCTCCTTCAGCAGTCTGATTCCCAGAAAAGATATACAATTGACAAGGATTAGCAGAGAGCCCCAGGACAGCAGTATTAAGAAAATAACAAGCTGGGAGGTGGTGGCGCACGCCTTTAGTCCCAGCACTTGGGAGGCAGAGGCAGGCGGATTTCTGAGTTCGAGGCCAGCCTGGTCTACAGAGTGAGTTCCAGGACAGACAGCCAGGGCTACACAGAGAAACCTGTCTTGAAAAACAAAACAAACAAACAAAAACAAAAACAAAAAGAAAGAAAGAAAATAACAAAATTTTGGGAAGTCCAAGTGTTTGTTTTTTTTTTTTAATTTGGCTGGGTGTGACAGATGACAACTATAATCACAGCTACCCTGATCCTTGTGGGGAGGGGGAAGACAAATCCTACCTGCTTTGGGCAGGTGGCTACCCTGCCTACTAAAGTGTCCTTCTGTTGAAAACAAAGTCTCTCTTTCCATTGCTCTATATGCTACTAAATTCTGTATATACACCATTAGAAAAATTTACAACCAACCCCATTATTATAGTACTTTTCATTTTTTGTTTCTGAAAAAGTGTTGATCTGAACGATCAAAGGAGAAAGATCATCATGGCCAAATTAATTAAAACAAACAAGTAGTTAAAGCAAGCTATTTTACTCATGTCCACTAGCTGCCTCCTCCTAAGGATAGGTCAGCTTTGGATAGGAGGAAGACAAGGGTTTTTATAGCTCAGGGGTAGGTTTGGGTTTGTTTGTTTTGTTTTGTTTTGTTTTGTTTTTTAACAAAATCTCACCGGTTCGATTTTACCAATGAAGACTTGGGAGCCAGATGCTGGAGGGAACGCCTGCTAGCTCAGAGACCCAGAGAAAGCATCCAGCTGACCGTCTTCCTCAGTATATACTCCAAAAGCAATGCCTCTCTCACTCTCCCACGCCCACTCAAAAAAAAAAAAATCTCCTGCCAACTGAATGTCCCTCCCTTCTACTTCCTGTTCATCTCTCTGTCCTCCTGACTCCCTCTTACTCTCTATGGCTCTTTAATGATCCCTATGCTCACTCCCTGTCAGCGGTCACTTCTCTGCCTCTTGACCTATGGCTCACTGTATTTAATCCTGTTTACAATTTTCAAGCAGAAAGCTCTTGAATTAAAGGTATACACTGAGGCTAAGCCACACCACAACTAAAAACAGGTTTTCATCTGATCAAATATCCTGCAACAGTGGGGGGCTTACAAATGTGGGAGTTGGTGGGCAAGACAGGTGGAGTTATATGAGTGGAACAGAAGCACAACAAGTTTGTCCCTCCTGAGACAATGACATGGTTGCTATGTGGCCATGATAAGGCAGTTATAACAAGGTAGGCATAGGTGGTCATAGAACCTGTTTGTTTGTGTGTGTGTTTGATTTTGAGACAGGATTTCTCTGTATAGCAGTTCTGGCTGTCCTAAAACTTGCTTTATAGACTGGGCTGGCACTGAACAAACAGATTCAGGCTGCATTTGCCTGCCAAGAGCAGGGATTAAAGGCATGCACCACCTCCTGGCCATATAACATTTTGAAACAAAGTAGGGTTGCAAGATGATTTTGTTTTGTTTTGTTTTGCTTTTTGTTTTTCGAGACAGGGTTTCTCTGTGTAGTCCTGGCTGTCCTGGAACTCACTCTGTAGACCAGGCTGGCCTCGAACTCAGAAATCCATCTGCCTCTGACTCCCAAGTGCTGGGATTAAAGGCGTGCACCACCACTGCCCGGCTGCAAGATGATTATAAACAACTTTATGAAACAAAGATATGATTGCAATTCCTGGAACAGGTGGTACAGAACCATTTTTAGTTAAGGCTGGGTGGGGGGAATGGGGCATAGGCTAATCGTTAAGAAACAGAGGTTTGATCATAAATAGGAATGAACCTTTTTTTTTATTATTATAAGATGGCTTTTAACCCTAAAATGGACGCAGGCTGATTCTTTAAAAGGTCTCAGTACATAGCCCAGTGCTGGCTTACAATTACAGGTGTGTGTCTTTATGCCTGGGCTTCATGATGCATTGACTTTGTCTCTGCAGAAGTGTATTTGTTTGCTATCCCCAACAGTAGGCATGATGCCTGACACAGTACGTATTCGGTTTCCTAGAATCAGATGATCTGCTGAATGCATACATCATTTAATATCAATCCTTGTGCTCTGAGATCAGAACACAGGAATTAGATGAATTTTCTCCCAAAGCAACAGGGGACAAAGGCATACAGCAAGAGCAAATACTTTTTTTTTTCTTCTTTTTCTTGAGACAGAGTCTCAAGTTTACTACAAACTTGCAACACAGCCGAGGATGATCTTCAAAGCATTATCCTCCTGCCTCCACGTCCTAAACCCACTGGCAGGACCTATCACACGATGTCTCCCTCCCCGCCCCCGTTTTGTTTTGTTTGAGATAGATCACATTCTGTACCATGCTATCTGGAACTCACCAAGTGAACTCACAGTAATCCTTTTTGCCGCAACCGCCTAAGTATGAGTATTAACCGGCGTGAGACACCGCCCAACGCTCACCTCCAACACAAAAAAAGTCACAAGGATTGGCCACAAAGCCAATGACAGAGATACGCACGTTGGAAAAAATCCAATGAATTTTTAATTCACCCCATTCTTTGAAATGCTGTGCATTTTGGGCTCACAGGTAACCTGTTTCTAGAACCAAGGATCAATTTCTAACTACTGTCAGAAGTCATTAGGGAACCACGAAAATGGATGTGTGCACTCTTAAGTTGAGACAGTCGTCGCATTCCAAATTGGGGGTGGGGCTCAAAGGCAAAGGCTCAGCATGCGCGAGGTCACCACCGCACAGCAGGCCGTAAGGACCCGCCACCCCACTCCTGCACCCAGAGTTCCTCCTCCCTTTCCCCTTCCTACCCCGCCCCGCCCTCTCCTCCAGTCCCCTCCTCTCTCTCCTTCCTCACTCTCCTTCCCCTCCTCCCTTGCCCAGGCAATCTACATACTCTAGTCTCCTCCCTCGCTCCTTCGCCAATGTCCAACCCTCAACTGCTTCCTTTTTCCGCCCCTGAAACGGCGTCTTCCAGGGCCCAGGGGGAGGAGCCGGAAGTGCGTCATGATCCGGAGCCCAGTTATTCGTTTTGCGCGCGCGTCCCAGGGAGCGGTTTTGGACTCTCTTCGATTTTCTCACGGTTCTCCGCGGGTTTGGAGTATCTTTGTAACGCGGTGACCGCGATTGCCGACATGCCATCTGTGCTGGGCTCGATGATGGTGGCCTCTACGTCGGCCGCCTCCCTGCAGGAAGCTTTGGAAAATGCGGGGAGGCTTATTGACCGACAGTTGCAAGAAGACCGCATGTACCCGGACCTTTCTGAGCTGCTCATGGTGTCGGCCCCAAGTGAGTGATCGGTCCATTGGACGCTCTGTTTCTCCGCCAAAGAATTCTAGTCTGAATCCTCTATCTTAGTCCTTCTCTGTACATTGGTGCCCGCGTGGACATTCAGAGATTAGGTCTCGGTTTCTTGAAAACCTGACGAACCGCGACCACCTTTTAGGTTTTTTAAAAGATTTATTTATTTTATGTATGTGTGTACAGTGTCACTCAGATCTCTACAGATGGTTGTGAGCCACCTTATGGTTGCTGGGATTTGAACTCAGGACCTTTGGAAGAGCAAGCAGTCAGTGCTTTTAACCACTGAGCGATCTCTCCAGCCCCACCTTTTAGTTTTTATTGCTTATTTGTTCTTGTCTACAATTTGGTCACTGTAAGATACTCGGAGAGGTAAGAGCAAGCTCATTAAGTCCAAATGAGGAGAATCTTCTGATTCAAATTCCATTTCTGTACATGTCTTGCTTCAGTTACGAGCCACGCAGAAAATTTGGAAATCTGGCACGTTCTCTGAGTCATGTCATGTGTGTAACGTTAGTATATTTGTAAGTGTAACTAGCAAAGAAATACAGGAGTAGGAATGTTCAATGACAGGGAGAGTAGAAGCGAGGAGATAACTTGGAAGTTTTTAAAACTTGTAACCAGCTAAAGGTTTGTGGAGTTACATTAATTACTACAAAATGTTTCTTGTGAGATGAAAGTTGGAGGGAAATATAAGATGCAGACTTGGTGAGCAAAAAATGGGGGCAACTTAAATAGAATAATCAATGGAAAGTAGCCCAAAGTACAAGAGTAATGACTTATAAAAAATCTATTAAGAGATTTTTAACCTGAAATACTAGAAGCAGCCAGGCAGTGGTGGTTCATTCCTTTAATATCAGCACTTAGGTGGCAGACGCAGGCGGACCTCTGTGAGTTCCAGGCTAGGCTGCTCTACAGAGAGAGCTCCACGACAGCCAGAGCTACACAGAAAAACCCTGTCGTGAAATACTGAAAAGAAAAATACCACAAGCAAAGATATTCTTTGTACTTGACAACTACTAACAAATGAGCTTGCCTTATGAAACTTGTTTGACCTATTAGCTGGTATTGTCTGCATTTGTCCCTCCATGCTTTGCTTTCTTTTTTTTTGGGGGGGGGGAGTTTCAAGACAGGGTTTCTCTGTGTAGCCCTGGCTGTCCTGGAACTTACTCTGTAGACCAGGCAGGCCTCAAACTCAGAAATCCGACTGCCTCTGCCTCCCAAGTGCTGGGATTAAAGGCGTGCGCCACCACTGCCCGGCTATGCTTTGCTTTCTGATCCTCTTAAATGTGTGATCTCTTTAATATACTTTCCTTCTCACACTAATTCCTTTCTCATCTAACTTTTTTTCCTTCTCTACCTAACAGACTCCTCCCAGACAGGTTTTCTCTGTGTAGCCCTGGCTGTCCTGGAACTCAGAGGAGATCTGCCTACCTCTGCCCCTGAAGTGCTGGGTTAAAGGTGTGAACATCACAGCCTGGCTCCATCCAGTTCTTAGTGAAAGACTCTAGTTGTAGTCAGGCATGGTGGTACATGCCTTTAATTTCAGTACTTGGAAGGCAGAGGCAGGAAGATCTCTTTGAGTTTGAGGTCAGTTTGTACTACCTGTTCTAGCCTGACCAGAACAATAGTGAGACCCTGCTCCAAAAAAAAAGAGGAAGTCTTTAGTTTCTTTGAAATTTTTCTTGACCATTCACAGTCTCATCTGTCAAAGAGTTGTGCCCCCCTTTTGTATTTCTGCTTCATTTCCTATGTGCATTGTTCTATTGAAATTGTATTTAGGATTAAGATTTATATTTGGAAAGGACCCAGTGGAGAGGTGAACAGTTACATGAGTGAACCATGTTGGGGCAGGCATACCATGATTGTTCAGCCATGGTAATCAGTATTTTTTTTAAAGATTTATTTATCTATTTAATGTATATGAGTACACTGTAGCTGCCTTCAGACATACCAGAAGAGAGCATTGGATCCCATTACAGGTGGTTGTGAGCCACCATCTGTTTGCTGGGAGTTGAACTCAGGACCTCTGGAAGAGCAGTCAGTGCTCTTAACCACTGAGCCATCTCTCCAGCTCAGTAATCAACATTTAATGTCAGTTCCTCCAAGATTCATGTATTATGAACTAGGCCCTGATAAGGTGCCTGGAACAATTAGTTTGTTGGTCAGGTCTAGTGTTCAGTGTCCTGAAGGACAGGTCAAGAAGACCAGCCCACTCTTGCCCCTAGGATCTGAGTCATAAAGCAAGAGATAGGAAGCACTAGAAGAATTCTTTATTGAGAGCAGTCTGGATCCCCACCAACTTCCAGTGACGTATTGTTTTTGTTTGTTTGTTTGTTTGTTTGCTTTTGTTTTGTTTTTTTTGAGACAGGGTTTCTCTGTGTGGCCCTGGCTGTCCTGGAACTCACTCTGTAGACCAGGCTGGCCTCGAACTCAGAAATCCACCTGCCTCTGACTCCCAAGTGCTGGGATTAAAGGCGTGTGCCACCACCGCCCTGCTGAGTGATGTATTGTATTATCGGTATTTGTATGTGATGTGTTGGTGGGAGAGAAATCTAAAGAGGAAAAATGGATTGTTTGGTGTGAACCTTGTTTTGTTGTCTTTTAGGAAAGGATCTAATGTAACTGGGTCTGGTTTCTAATTGTAGTTAGGGATGACCCTGAATTTCAAATCCTCCCAAGAGCTACGAATTCAGGTGTACGCCACTATGCTGTGTTTTATGCTCAGCTAGGAGTCACACCCAGGGATTCATGTCTGCTAGACAAATACTGTTGAGCTACATTTCCACTCTTGATAACTTCGTCTCGTTTTTGAAAGCAGTAGTTGTCCCATCCTGTAATAGTGAGATTTCTTAGGTCCAGTTTGTGATAGGTCAGAACTCAGAGACATCATAGGCACTAGGGTAGCTTGACTTGTTATCAACTATTCCTGGTACTTTATTGCTGTATATAAATGCTTCGTTTTATCTTTTTTGTAGACAGTCCTACTGTTTCTGGAATGTCCGATATGGATTACCCTCTGCAAGGACCAGGTTTACTGTCAGTGCCCAGCCTTCCAGAGATCAGCACTGTCCGAAGAGTTCCCCTCCCGCCTGAGCTGGTTGAACAGTTTGGACGTATCCTATTGCTTTGTATTTAGCTATTTGATAAATATTAGGTTAGTCATTTTCATTATTATAATTCTTGATCTGTTTACATAATGTTTATAAGTTATTTAAGAGTTTTCTTTTTTTAAGATTTATTTACTTATATATAT